TTTCTTATCTAATATTAATACATTTCTCGGCCTCGTTAATTGAAAAATTTGTTCTTACCTGTAACAAACAATGCATTAAACATACAACAAACCAGAACGCGTCCAAACAGCTTCATTTCTAGACATCAAATAATATACTATTTCTAATTGCAGTAACTGAATTCGAAACCTATTAAAATATTTGTCGTGTTCAAATAGAGTGTTTTGTTTCATTTTTAACCTATTAACAGATTCATTATTCCATTGTTTACGAGAGATAGATGTTAATTAATCTGAGCGTGGGACGATTGGATTAAATTAAAATTTAACGAGAACTCGGCATGACAAAACTCCGACATTTTTTGCTACAATGTCAAAACATATTTATTCCTAAGAGCTTTCTCATTTTATGTATGTTTATATTTTATCTTTATTCTTTTAATTTAATATTGAAATGTATCTCTGAATACATATGTGAAGGGGGAGGGGAGGGGCGGTATATAAATTTCGTAATAATAAAAACAATCCACACTAATATGGTTTGTTCTCTGAGTGTCGGCCAACTGTTAATCAGTTGATTGATCATAAATCTAGAGTCTGTTTAAAAGACTGTCTGTTTGTCTGTCTGCCTGTCTGTACAAGATTGGCGGCTACACTAGGGCTGTCCCGGGGCTGAAATTTGGTGTATTGGGGTAGCTCGGACAGGGGAGTAACATAGGCCTGGTTGCGATGGACTACCACTTCTGGTTTCGGAGTTAAGCTACTTCCGGTTCATAACTATAGCGGTGCTGTGCCAGGTCAACCGCTAGTCTCTGATAATATTGCTATCAGATTCATAACTATACCGGTGCTACGCCAGGTCAACCGCTAGTCTCTCATAATATTACTATCAGATTCATAACTATACCGGTGCTCTGCCAGGTCAACCGTTAGTCTCTCATAATATTACTATTAGAGACTCGTGTTTACTACATTGTAGCTTGCAAGAGGGATTATATAGAACAATAATGACGCAATGAGATTTTAAGCAATGACATCGGTTTAATGTTTTTGTTCATGGAGGCAGATTTTGGGAGAGAGAGAGAGAGAGAGAGAGAGAGAGAGAGAGATGATATAATCGGCTGTAGGGTTATAGTTTAACTTTAAATATCTATATAATTGTTATTCTATAATTACAGGGTGTATTGGTCTACTTTAAATGATCTGTACACGTTACAACCTCACACTTCTAACCTCAAACATTTGGGAGAAGACTGTCTGACGTTTTAGTATTTTAGGTGGGATTTTAAAAATAGAACGAGATGGTATAGTTGAAGCCTTCTCTGAATTGAAGATCCATATTTCATACTCTAACTTGTAGTGTCACCGTTAAATCTCTCGATTAGGATATTAGGATATAAGTTAGCAGGAGAGTGGTTAAATATATAGGGCATGCCTGTTCTACAATTTTCATTCATTTATGAATCAAATATTGTTTTAAAAAGTTATATAAATATGTCGTCAGTCCAGAAACATCGCATTATTGTATGGCTTGATTGAAATTGGTTTATGTTGACCATAATTCTGTTATTCATGCAGTTGGTGCCCATTATTCATGCTTTCTTATAATCGAGGTAAGAATTTACCCTTTTGGCCTTACTCTAACACTAGAGGCTTAGGTGACATGGTTAATGTTTTTCATGCAGATGCCGTGAATGAATTAGTTATGTAGGGGTCTTTAATTAGCAGTAGGAGGAAGCGGGGACCCGGAGAATACCCACAAGGTTGAATATGCGACCTTACTGTTTATCAGGTCCAAGCGTGGAATCTACACCAAGCCCCCCCCCACCCCACAATGGCAATAACAGTTCTTACAGTTCATGTCGAAATCAAACATCCCCATATGGTTCCGAGTAAATGATACAAAAAAAAGAAAACAGCAAAAAAAAAAAAAAAAGATTTTGAAAGAATAAAATATCCAATCATATTAAGTCAAACGATACCAGCAGAAAACATCATCGAGTGATAATTACGCTCTGATTGAAGCGAGATAACTCCCGTATAACTAATACATACAGACCACAATTAATTTACATTTGAACTCGATGTTAACTCTGGTCTCTTTCCCGGGCTTACACTTTTCCCCAAATTTTCGTTGAGTTCAACACTTTTTACTACAGACAGAGACTGACAACTTGAATTAGTACGGAATTGTAAATGTAATTTTTCAGTCATGAATGTACAAAAATATTAAAGCAAGAAATCTTGAATGGCTTCAAATTTTGTGAATTCTGAAGGGCAGGTTTACTACTTTCTGACACTTATATTGTCAATATTGAGAAAGGATTATGCCAACTTGCTCCAGGTAGTAAAGCCGATTATCTAAGGCACCTAATAACTGAAATACTAGCAAAGGCAAACACTAAACAGCAGACGACCAATGTTTCCCGCCAAGAAGGGAAAGCCCTCAATGACCCAAAAGACGATAGAACTATCACAATTGTTTCCACTGGCAAGAGAAAAGCAACAGTCATCATGAACACTGATGAGTACCTCACCACTGTCATTGGCTTACTCCAAGATCCGGCAACATATAGAAGAATCCACAAAGACAAACGCGCACAGGGACAGCCATGAAAACTTGCTTTAAGAAAAACAGATCTCTGAAGCTACTATAAAAATCCACAAAAAGCCCATGAAAGCCCGTCTGCTAGTGTGTTCTCGAGATTCAGTCTCTTCTACAACACAGCCCAGTACTTTTCAAAAGTACTTTCCTCCCTTGGCACAACAGCATAGTCCTTCGTCAAAGATTCAGGTTAATTCTGTGAGAAACTGCAGAATAGTCAAAACCCCGGGGGGATAGGCTTATATGATGTTGTAGATTTGTTTACAAATGTACCTGGGGAAGAGGCTCTGAGGATTCTACGCAAGCGCATAGATAGTTTGGACATCCCACTGGAGACCTCCCTATCAACAGACAACATCATACTCCTGTTTAAACAATGCATCAATTCAATATATTTTCCCTTGGGATGACGACTTTTACGACTAGACCAATGGATTGCTCATGCGAAGCCCACTCTCTCACTTAATTTCAGAAATATTTTTACCTGATTTAGAAGAGAGGGCGCTTCCAGCGTTCACCATGACCCGAGCATGTTTTTCTTGGCGAGTGGGTGACACCTTTGTTATTATCAAACAACAGGATGATCCAGAAACACTGTTACAGCACCTCAACAGGCAACACCCACGTATAAAATTAACAATGGAAACCAAAAATGATAATTAACTACCTTTCCTCGATGTCTGTGTATCCAGAACCAACAACTCAATTCGTACCAGTGTCCACGGGAAATCAGCCCACACCGACCAATATATTCACTTCAAATCCAATCACTCGAATAGCGTTAAATCGGCCACAATTTCAACTCTGGTCAACCGTGCCAAAAAGACATGTGATCCTGGGAGCCTCTCCAAGGAAATTGAATATCTCAAACATGCCATCACAAATATCAACGGCTATCCAGAGAAGTTTGTGACAAACACCATCAACAAGACTGTGTCGTCGAGTGCAGCTAAACCCAAAACCCCGACTGCCCCAGTCAGGATCTTCTTTCCTTTCAACGGCACAGTCTCCTACCAAATCAAACGGCTACTAATGCAACAACCAGAAATAGATGTAACTTTAACAAAAAGTAACAGAACTAAAGATAAACTAAGGGCCAATGGTAAACTAAATCTAAAACAACCACCACAACCGAAGGAGTGTGTTTATTAAATAGAGTGCAATTGTGGAAGCACATACGTGGGGGAGACAAAACGCCCATTAAAAAGGATAGATGACCACAAGCCGAAAGCAGCAACCAACAACACTTGAACTCCAATCCCCGCCACAGAGTCCAATGGTCTAATGTTAATTTAGATAACATTTCAGGCCGAAAGAAAGACCTGCAATAGACAGATTTAGCTCTTGCATAATGTATGTTTAAGAGGAAGAAAGTGGATAAAATTATATATGGAAGAAACTTGCTGTTCCAGTTATAGGAAATATAAATCTTTCCTGATAGAATATTAGACGTTTTTTTGTGCCGATAATTTTGTGGATCCTGTGGTTGCTGTTGTGTGTGTTTTATTTCTTTATATTCCGTATAGTGAACTATTAATGTGTTTAAATTGTATCTGCATTATGACAATTTTATTGAAGAACTTTTCAAATAAGTCTATTTCATATCATATTTCCTTCTATATATTCTTTAATGATTGGGTGATTATATTTTTGTTTGTTTGTTTCGCAAGCGCTGTTGGCAATGGCGGAATTGTTACATAGTGTGAGCGACAGTGATGGGTAAAAGATTATAATCATCATATGACAGCTTGTGTAATACAATTTCCGATGTCCTCTAACTGACCATACTATTGTTTAATTTAACAGAGGCTCAGCTGCTGGCACATGTACAGTGACAAAGTTAGATAATCATGGTCAAGTTAGATAATACCCTGACCGCTAGCTGCGTTTACTACAATTTGTTCAATTGTCACACATCACTGTTCGGTAACCTGCTGTGTGATTATCGTGAGATAATCTCAAGTTCTTTTTTTCAGTATCATTAATGAATGTACTATTATCATTCACCATATTTGGTATAAAATGTGTTAGGTTTTTGGATATAGACAAGACGAGCTTTGGTTGCTCATCAGAGAAGGGTTTCTCATATATTTAGTATTTTGATACCATTGTATATGTTATAATAAAATGTTGAATTCAGGTCATCCTCTATTTCTGTTAACCCAAACTATGTTATATACAAGCTAGGAATCGAAACCACGCCACTTGACGCAATGATTGACAGACCCTATGATCTAAAACGCACACCTTAGACCATTCGCTATTGGACAGGCCACCCCACCCCTCGGCAAGTACAACTGAGAATCGAAACCATGCCACTTGACTCAATGTTACACGTTACGACATTCGGCCACCCAACCAGACTCAATCCTCTTCCTGACCTAGGATCAGATGTAACTCACAAATGACAACTGTATTAACGTAATATACATCTTTATTAAAATCGTCCTCTTGAACAATACAACATGTTAGAATCCATCTAATAGTTCAAGACTATAGACAGTATTACACAAGTCATCTATTATAATATCGCTGTGTGTATAATAACTCTAGTCAAAGTGTAAAAGACAACGAAGAATAACAACAGACAACATAAAAGTAGAATATGGAAAATATGAAAATAATTTCTATTCTGTATCTTATATCTACTATTTTTAATATATCAATATCTGATTGAACGTTAAGTCGAGATCTATCCAGCTATCATATTTCACGATTGTCATGGTTTATATACTGCTGGATATTCTCGACTACCGTACAATCAGATTAGGACTTATATATTTTAATATCAGGATTCTACCGTTTTTAATTCATAGAAAGTTCAGCAAATGTATAGCAACATTTTACTAAAAATATAAAATCAGTTATATATCAATGGGCAAGTTGGCGAATTACCGTTTGAGTGGGAAAGACAAAATTCGGAATGTGAGCGTGGAATAATAATAAATCTTTGCTTTAGTGAAAACATTTAAAAATATAAAAAAATTAATAAATTTAATAAAAAAAATTCTCAAGTCACAATACCAACGTAAACTGAGAAGACAGTTCAATCGTGCTGGCGTGTTTCATCTGGTCGCTACAACGGGACACTTTGCTGATTCTCAACCCACCATTTGGAATAATTAACTCACACCCATGGTTGTATATGTAATGAGGAATGGATAGTTTTTGAATTATGACGAACGAAAATGCACTCTACACCCGTTGAAGGACCAATATATTTTGAATTTCGTTTCGGTTCATATGAAAATTGGTAAACACATACATTTTACACATGTATACGATTATTAACACTTCGAATCACATAAACTGCTAAACCATCCCGACAACAGTTGCCATGCAACCGGCCACCAATAATCCTACATCCCTCGCTGATGTTATAAGGCACTTGATTGCTGTTTCAAATGCCGGACGGGAGAAAAGCGCAGAAAGAGAAAAAACATTGATATATATACTACCCCAAATCTCTCGAAATAATTCTTGTACTGGACAACGTTCGTCTGTGTTGTTGACGTTAAACACACCATAACGAATAAAATGATAACAAAGCAAGTAAAATAATAAAACTAATCTAACTTCTGATTTACAAATATCCACCTTTTTTCAAAATAAAACAAGATCTAATATTTTCTACACGCTAATTGTGAATATTAAAAATATCAACAATCTTTTACAATTTACCATCCTTCTTGTAAAAAAGAAAGTAATAATATAATAATGAATGGCTATAAGAGAATTTCATGGTCGTGAATGACATGGTATCTAACACGAAAGGTTTCCATTTTTCTTTCAAAAATAATATAAATCGAAAATAATTTTAATTAATAAAAACTGAATACAGCTCAGTGTATGAAGGCTGTGGTTAAAATCCTGAGACGTTATCTTTTTACTGTTTGAAGACGGCTTTAAGAGTTGCTTTTTCCTGAAAAAAAAGAGAGAAAACAAATAGTTAATGACAAATACAGAAAACTGTAATACGATATTTATAAAAGTGAAATTACCACAACTTAAAGTAGTGCTAACTCGTTCTCATTGTTTGATTATATTGTAACTGTTATGTAATATTAAAATGCACAAACCAAAATTCAAATAATTTTGACTTTGATTAGCAAATTAAGGCTCTGGCTGTGATATCAACAGGGTAACTGTCAGTCGTTGTTCATAAACAAATCAAATAGCACGAGCATCTCTTTAAATAAAATTTAAGCAGGTGGGAAGGAATGCAGTTCCCCTTTAAGGAAGGTTATGGGGTCAGGATGCCCAGTCAAATCATCGCAAGGGATAGAGTTCTCCTTTAAGGTTATCCATTATATGCAACGAAAGTGATGGGATACTGTTTCAGTAAATCAACTGAGATCATAAAAACAAAAACAGTTTAAATTGATTTTATTGACAAGGCATTTCTACTCCAGACACACAAGAGCACACATCAAACATAATATACATGATTTTAGCACACCATTAACAGTCTGGTAAATGATGGGGATATTTTAACTCCAGAGCACACATCAGATATACATGATTTTAGCACACGTTAACAAATTGGATAACTTTGGGGATATTTCTCTCCAGAGCACACGTGAAATATAATATACACATCAAACATAATATACATGATTTTGGCACACGTTTACAAACTCGAAAACTTTTAAAACAATCAGTTAAATAAATTATCACACGCTTTATAGTAAATATACATTCTATGAATTTTCTTTAAAACTGCTAACAAATTCAAAATAATATTAACCTCAAAAGAAACAGCGTAAATAAGAGGGATTTATGCATATCGACTAGGTAGATAATCGATAATAAATCGATTGAGCGGTTTAGGGGTTACCTTTTTAAATATGGAAACGGTTGTCTTGGCAACGGCAACTTCAAGGGACCCGAATACACACATGGCCCCTTCAAGGGGATATAGCACAATCTCAGAAGTTTTAGAAACTATTCCCATAGTTTTTGATATCGGCCATTGGACCATTCTGCAAGCCGCAGAACCCACGCGGGCAGTGGTCGATACTGAAGCTGCCGTCAAACCAAATGCTCTTGACTGTAGAGTCGAGTAATATGAGAATAAGCCTAATCGATATTTCATTGTTACAAATTGGCCAGATTTTAAACTATGTAACGATTTAACCCAAGCTTGTGCTATCGTTTTGAACAACTCGTAGAGCAATACCAGACATTTCACAACAAAAGTTACTAAAGCCATCTGGGATACCAGATGACACATTTCCAGGACCGGGTCGTTATAGAACGTTGCAATTTCTTTTATTTTCAAAGAAATATTTTCAGTATTCTTTCCAGTGCTCATTAGCGAAAGTTCTACAGAAGCCCTCTTCGGTTCTGGGAGGCATGTCGTGGAGAGTCTTCGATGATATTTACGTAAAGCTTTTGAAATGGAGCCCCGGTCCATCATTGTTGTTTCTAATGATGAACACGAAGACGGCCAGTCTTGAGAAATATCGGCATGATTACTCGAGATTTCAATCTTAGGGGAGTGCTGGTCAAACTGGGAAGATTGTGGGAGTCCTACACTAGCTGATTGTTGGGATAACTGCTGGGGAAGATTAAAGTTTTTAGGCAATATACTAACCACTCCGCTAGCGTCAAAGAGTTTTGTGGTTCCGGATCCAGAGAACCAGGAGAAGTGTTCACAGCATCGATCACCACCTGCGTTGGCTTGGTTTTTAATATTAGCACCAGTTGCTGCTCCCTTGGCGAAAACCTAAAATAAAATCATACCAGATAATGAAATGGGTGTAAAAATGACCAAGATTACTCGAGAATGTTGGTAAAACTTGGAAGATTGTGTGAGTCCTTCACTAGGGGCCATTTAGGTTTTCGATTACGTCTATGTGCTACATGATAACATTTAGTTGGCTGTAAGATGCTCTAATAACATATCTGATTTCAAGAATAAACCTGATTTCAAAGACCTGAATTCGATTCTAAATTAAAAAAAATAATAAATATCTGTTCGCGATTCGAAAGACGACTGAATGATTTACCTTGAGTTGTTTTCCTGGTGCGATTTCTTCATCATCCAAGAATTTATAGACGAGTTCTTTCTGTCCGCTCATTTGTCGTCTAATCTGCCATCCGGACAAGTTCTGGATCTAGAAACCAAAATCAATTATGTATAAACCTTAACGATAGAGATTCAGATAACTGTTTTCTTTGGTTTTCTTTAGTTTTTCCCATTATTAAAGGTGAATCCAAAGGTTCCCGCATTACGGCCCTAATCTTTAAGTGGCATTTAAACAGTAACAACTACAGGTTTATAATCTTTAAGTGACATTTAATAACTGGATAGAGTAAGAAACAAAAACAAATATTTATGGAACTGGCTACTAGTATATTTAAAGATACATTATGAGAGATTAGATAAAGAGCTGGCAGTTCTCAATATAATAGTTAAAAACTAGATACTGTAAAGGGAATTTGCTGATCCACTATGATCAGCGATTGAATTTCCCTCCTAGCCTCGGTCATCATTACTAAAGTCAGTAGGATAAAAAACATAGTCTCGATTATCCATTTAATAATTAAATTATGAATGGAAGTCGAAAAGCAACTCGGCATCTAATCCATTAAATATCACAGACTAGCGGTGCCATCAAGAGTTAATTATGGTCTGGATAAGTTAATTAATATCTAATAATGATTTAGATAACATTTCAGGCCTGAAGAAAGCGCTGCAATAGGCAGATTTAGCTCTTGCATAATTTATGTTTAAGGAGACGTTTTGAAGTGTATTCTCTCCAAGTTATCAAACTAATTGTAACAGAGAAATATTTATATACAGATATACCTTAATAACCTATAACACATTCTTATAAAAAAAAACAGCTACTGCTTTATTTAAACGATGTGTCGAAGAGTAACATTCGCTGGATAGCGTTGAGAGAATACTCTTCGAAACGTCTACTTAAATATACTAACTACGGGTTTGTGTACTGAAATAAAAAAACTAAAATTAAACCTGCTTTAGTGTTTGAGCCGTTTCCGGATAACGTTTCGAATCGTTTCCTTAAATATGCTAGTATCAGTTTTCCATGACTATTTGTTTTTGTAAACTACAGATTTGTATACTTAAATGAACAACTAAAAGTAAACCTACTTTAGCGTTTGGGCCTTTTCCGGTGTTTTCAATAGTAATATAGCGACCATCATGAGCAGCCTCGACAAAACCGATTGGACCTCGGGAAGATCTGGACACGGTAAGTTTTCCGGTAGATTCACTCAAACCTGGAAAGGGAGAGAATAGACATAAGACATTTCGCAAAAAATGAAAAGTCACGGTGCATGGGATGCTAACTTAAACCTTAAACTAAGAATTACACACGGAAGTTACTGTTATACTAAATGAGATGCATATCATTATACTATATTAAGAATAATACCACCACCACATGCTTTTCATTACCTCAGTCACAAATATACGTTTGTAGAAAGATGCCAAGTTTCCGTTGGCATTGGATGCCTAAAAATGACGTCATAAGGAAGTACACAATTACGAACACTGTTACTGAATCCTCTGCTCGCCCAATGGATATTGGGGGAATCCATGATAAATCGATAGGAACCCATGGAAACAATGACTACCAGAAAAAATAACTGAACAAAAATATCACTTCGTATTATTAACGGACAGCAAGTATTGTCCAGCCAATGAAACAGGTCCATATATTATCAAATATCTTCCAGCCAATGAAATAGATCCATATATTATAATATATCTTCCAGCTAATAAAATAGGTTAATATAATGTTAAACATCCTTAAGCCAATGCAATTGGTGCATTTTCCAGCCAATCAAACGGATCTAGATATTATTAAACATATAAGTATGAATTTTGACAAAAATGTGTAACTCTTTGACGATCACGTCAACGAATAATCTACAAGGCACGTAAAATAGATAATGTTTTTCAATTTTATCACATGACTCAATATGGCGTTGAATTAGGATGAGCAGACGACAAAAGAACAATGCATGGTAGTATATAGTAAGAGATAAGAGATAGAAGGTTGTCTTCATTCGAATATCTAAATAAATCATGATCAGTTTATTGACCTTAAACAAACAAATAAGAAACGCCCGTAGTCTTTTTCATCACACAAAACTGATTCATAACATTATAGACTCCTTTGTCATTTTTAAGAAATAGTGTAGTAGTCTTTATACTCGCCCTCAATGTAATAAGAAACTATTTGAACAAGATTAGCCTACTTTAGATATTTAATTGGATAGTTCTTTTATGTTCAAGATCTTATATTTGGAAGTCATAATACACTTAGAAAAAATTCCAATTATATAGCCTAATGCACAATCGACCAACAATAGTTTTAATAAATGAAAAACACACTTGTAAATTTCGTGTTAGCTATGGCGTTAGATAGTGGTTTAAGAGAGGTTAGTTGTATCTATGACGTCTGCTAATACACTAAATACCGATCATTCCATTCAACGTATCTCAAACATGGTCTACAATGATAGCCTGGGAAGAAATAAATTACTTTGCACCAATAATTGCTCCACGGTTTCGTACGTGCGAAAAACTTAAATGACTCAAATAAGTTTTCTTTCTGGTTGCAACATTAAGATAGCAGACGACGCATTAATTTTTCAATCAATTGACAAGTTACACCCAGTTATTACGCTCCAATCGACAGGATAAATATTCAAAATGGCGTTCATGCATGTACATAAAGTATGCAGGGTGGATATCTGATCCGCACTGTTGATTGGTCAAAAATGACACGGAGTCAGCTTTCAGCGTTCAAGCCACAGTTTCGTATCCACATTAATTGATATCATCCCAGATTAATCCGATATAAGATGATTAATTGATTATAACCCATTGACATAAATATCATTCATTAATAATTAAATACTTTCATTAAAATCCGACGGTTGTCGAACATATCACATTATAGCCTCTTCGCGTGTATGTCCACAATTACATATCCTTTATATATGGAAATTAGTGACATAGTCCTTAGATGCCGTATATAAAGTCGATATACACTATATTCATAAAGACAGATATGTATATATATGTATGTATATAAAGACTTTCACCCCATGATAGGTTATATAGTGCACCAGAGATAATATAATAATATATATGTATCCCAAACCAAGGAAATAGAACAGTTGTAAGAAAACAATAGAATTAAGCATATTTGAATTTTTAAAATCTTATACCTAATATGATAATATTATTATTATCAATATTACGTTGTGTACATAAAACAATGACGTCAAACACAGTGGATGAAATGTTATCAAACAAAAAGAAAAAATAACTCTAAACGAAACGAAAACTGGATTGATAAAATATTGTCTCATGTACTATAGATAACTAAATATAAACGCATATTTAATTTTAGAAAAATAATCTATGAATATTGAGTATTTTGAATAAAAAATTGGCATAAATAAGAAATATAAAATAATAAAAAAAATACACTGATGCTAATATACTATCGACATTTCTAAAAAGCTATTTAAATATGTTAATTCTATTCTATTCTGTTACGTTTCAAGGACAAAAAGACATTTAAACATTTACAAATTTTATTTCGTAACTGTTTCATTTCATATAGTAAACATGATAAAGTGTTTAATAGATTTTGTTCTGTAACTAATCTAAGCTCCTTTTTAAGCCTATATTAAAAAGCCCGCTAAAATGAAAAGCTATCCATATATAAGTGTGTATATATATATCTCTCAGTATATTGTAAAAATAAATGTTTTCAATTTTATCATATATCACATAGTCACCCTCTTCTCAAACATGCATCGCGTATCTTTCTTTCTTAACGTATATATAACTAAAAACATTCTAAAAAATTAGAAATTCCTTCTATGTTGTAAAATAATACCGTTCTACGTACTAAATTTGAAAAAAAAATACTATAAACACAAAATGAACGAAAAAATAGTATTGATATATTTCATGAAAAGGGATCCAAAAAGAGCAAAGTAGTTTAAACCCAAAGAAATAATATAAATCTTTTAAACAGTTGTTAGATTTAAATTTTTAAAAAAAATAAAACTAGAAATAAAAAATAAAAATCAAATGGGGTTAAGGGTTAGAAAACAAACCAGTGAGAGAAAAAATCCACAAGAAATTGTTCGGGTGATTTTAGATTTATAAATTTGTTCGTTTCATGCAAACATATGTTTAGAAATTTGAATCCGCCCGCTGCCACATGATAAAAGTTCAAAGGTCAACGGTGGTATTTTGCGTAGCTATGACAACCATACTAACTGGACTGTTGAACAATATCAGCGAGATTTCCGGCTCCTTTCGATTGTGCTCCAATAGCTTGTTCTACAATCTGTCTCAAGCCAAGTCTGAAATAAATAAAATCACGGATGGTTAAAGTGGGGAAATATATTTGCACGGCATGGTTATCACACAGTATGTTCGGGATTGCCCCGAAAAGACCCAATTTATAAATTGTAAGACTTTAATAACGCGATGGCTTATGTCACCTATAACAGTCTACAAAAATGCTAAATATGTTCTCAATAAACTACCCTCGCTGTGATAATTAACTAGCCGCAAACTTACTACTAAAGTAAGCAATAAACCACAAAACCAAAAAATCCCCAACTTGCTGTTATAGTAAATCTTGAATTAATGTTCCACTTGCTACTAGAGAAACTAGCCCATACTTGTACTAACTAACCCAAAACTTGCTACTAAAGTAACTAACTAGCCCCGAACTTACTACTAAAGTAACTAACTAACCCCAAACTTGCTACTAAAGTAATTAACTAACCCCGAACTTACTACTAAAGCCACTAACCCCTTACTACGACCAATAATATGTTAAATTATGCAGGAAAGATACTAACCTGTTTTCTTCACCCTCCAACAACTGTCTGTAACAAGCTATTTCCAGTTCTAATGATAGTTTAGCATCCAGGATAAGTTTAATCTCATCTAAACAGCATTCTAGCTCATTCTGTAATTTCTGAATATCAGCACTGTGTTTAGATCTCTCCTCTTCTAGTTCCATTTCGGCATTTGCCAGTGCTTTCTTGAGTGCGTTACGTTCACTTTCGAGGGCAGCAATCTGGAGTAAAATAATGGGCACATCTTAATATTCCGTTTTCATTTTACATAGAATTAATTGTTTTTGGCGTATATGACACCGATTGCAGTGGGCATCTATTTTATAATTACTAAGCAAATCGACTTTCATTTGTTCTGTCGACGGTTTCGAATTAAAAATAAATATATAATTGACAAGCAAATTGACTTTCTTCTGTTCTGCCGAAATAATTACGTGGTAATTCAAAAACATATAAAACAAATTCAACGTTTAAAAACCATTATATTGTTTGTAACACTACAACGGGCGTAGTAATACAAATTGATCCAGGTCACCTTTTACTCATTTTAAGCCCGTAAGTACTATTGCATGTACCCTTTTACAGATAAAATAAAATATTTTTCATCCAGATATATTTCAAACACCTTTATTAAGATTTTAAATTAATTTAATTTACAGAAAATAAAACGTTAATATCGAGACATTCGTAACTCGCCCCGATGTCATCCGAATCAGTGATGAAGCGGTCAAGCGAATATTTACTGCGGATCAGTTTTCGTATGCAGACGGTTGTCCCCTTTAGTCAAACTGAAAGATGTGACGTTTCTTTCAATGTACTTACTCTGGCTTCTAATTCAGCGAATTTGGTGCCGGAATTGTTGATTTGAGATTTGAGTTTCTTGCTCTCTTCCTTGGCATGCTGTGTTTCCATGTTATCTCGGACAGCACCACTCTGGAGTTGACGCATCTGAAATACCAAAAGAAATAATGTTTAGCTCTATGAAAACTATGTTTGATTAACTAGTAGGGCTATAACATCTGAAATAACCGAGCGAGCAATCGTGTCTGGCCTCATATACATGTTCGACATACATTTAAAGATGCATTATGTAAGATTACAGCTATAATAGTTCCAAGATTGATAATTTAAAATTAAAATTAATATATTTAAACTTGCATTCAAATTACTGTATTTTGAGCAACGTTATCACTATTTTAAGTTTTGAATTGGATTGTTTATTATCGTAGCAAGGTTATTTGTTAATCAAGACGTATTTCAATATCAGTTTACATCGGCTAAGTCCGATTGTCTAGAGAGTTGATTATGTCTAAATAGTAATTTATATAAAGATTGAAGCCAAAACAGGAAGATTAAGCTTTTACACAATGTATCTTTAAGTGTAGATTCGTGTTTCAGAAAGGCACGCTATTTGGTGAATTCCATTACTTGAATTATTCTTGAATAATGCAAACTCAGCGAAATCGCTTCCTCTAAACCAACACTATATTGGTAGACTACCAATTTAAATACTATTTTTAAACGTTGAGAAATGAGGAGGAGTGTAAGATTCAATAACATTCTATCTTTTGCTCCATGCAAAGACTGGACGTGATTGTGTTTTATAAATTAATAACAATATGGCTAATAGAACAAAGACTGGATGTGGTTGTGTTTTATAAATTAATAACAATATGACTACTTTAAAAAAGACTGGATGTGGTTGTGTTTTATAAATTAATAACAATATGACTACTTTAAAAAAGACTGGATGTGGTTGTGTTTTATAAATTGATAACAATATGACTACTTTAAAAAAGACTGGATGTGGTTGTTTTTTTAAATTTATAAACAAATGATACTTTGAAAAAGACCTGACAATATTACTAAATAAACAAAGGCCGGACGTGGGTGTTTTTTTCTTATAAATTAATGACAATATTGTTAATTTAACAAAGACCGGACACAGTTGGTTCATAAATTAATAACTATATTGCTACTGTGACAAAGACCTGGCGTGGATGGTGTTTATAAATGTATAACAATATTATACTGGACATGGTTTAATAAGTTTAATAAAATTTATTATTATTATTATTATTATTACTATTATTATTTAACGTACCTGTGCAGAGTATCTGGCTTCCATGTCCTGTCTCATTAAATCAAGACGACTCTCATATTCATTCTGAATATCTCGGATAGCTTTAGCCATGTTGTCTTTCCAGAAAGCCTCCAAATCCAGACCCTTGATCTTAACGGGTTTATTGCTTTCTTGTGGCATCTTAAATAAAAATGAATGAAATTAATTAGGTCAGGGAATGGTGGGCCTCTAATTTTGCATCAGTTGGGACAGAAACAATCAATATTTAAATCATTGGCGGGGGATTTATGGAAATAAAATGGGACTTAACGTCCTACTGTTCTGCTCCGAACAGTGTGCCATGAGGGGAATTTTGCTCGGACAGCTGCGGTACGACCTATTCCACGAGATCTTAATAAAGCTGTTAAAACTTACTTTGTCGAGGAGAGCTCGGAGGAACTCAACTTCTTCTTCAAGGGTGGTGGCGCGACAATCAGCCTCGATATGAGCAGCTGTCTCGTTGTCAAGATCCTGAAAAAATGAAACAGTTGATTAATTCTACGAATATTTGTTGATTTCTTGAGTTGCTTCCCTTATTGATAATTTGTTTTTCATTTTGAGTGAAGTCTGTATAACTACAGACCCGTCCGGGGACTGTACAGCACAGTGGACACTTACAGCTAGCCCCCAGATCTATTCATTTTATCTGATATGTGTCTTTGTTGTTTGTGCTATTGTGTCCTGTCCGTAGGTTTGTCTTGTGTAATTGTTTGTGTGTGGTGCCCCCCACCCCCACCCCTACTTTTACTATTAGCATGTTACTTATTTAGAATCAGATACAGTTCTCTGTAGTTTATAAGGCGAATTAGTACCCTATTGTCAATATCCCGCTTCCATAACAGATCTCAGCAAAGTGGTACCATTCCGCACAACAAACTCAACAAAGACAATTCAAGTTGTACTAAATGACTTGTACTTCTAAAGCAGCCCCCCTATCCCAGTCCCTCGTCCCCTCACCCAGCCCCTCCTCTTGCATGGCATTCTTGTCTGTTGCATGGCGGGCCCCAATCGAGATTATGGGAATTTAAAAAGAGACAGAGATAAAATAGGATTGTTCTTCACCAGCTGATCTAATGACGACGGGCTTCTTTGTTACATGCATACCAACTTGTTCCTGATAACCCCGGTTTTTTGTCCCTTCCAAACAACTAGACGTTGTTACTTGCCAAGGCCGTCAATTTTGTACTACTGACAAAGGGAACCTACGCTGTAGAACTTTCTAGGCTAAGACCGTGATCGAACTCCTGGATCTCCTGCTTAGCGAGCGAGCACCCTAATCGCTGAGCTACCGTGGCTCCAAAATAGAAATAATACTTACTGTTCGGAGACGACGGTTGTCATCCATTTTCTGGTTATTAAGCTGTCTAAGTTTAGCATTCTCATTTTCTAAGTTTTCAATTCTAAGTCGGAGTGTACCTAATTCACCCTCGTATCCGCCAATCTGGGCAGCTTGATTATCGATCTTTTGTCTATAGTCGGTGGCGTGGCTTTCTAAAGTTTCTACCCTGAAAAACACAAAATCAAAATTTCCATGAGTGTGCATATTATTTTAAGAGCACAATTAATTGATAATGAAAGCCTGGCTCTCTGATTTTATTTTGTAACCAACGTCCCCCTACAACTGTTTGTATTCAAGACATGCAAACCCGCATAAGCAGGAATTTATTACCAATATTCGGTGCCGGATTTAGATGAAGAGGGGTCCTGGGCTATTCCACTTCTAAGGCCCCTCCCAATCCTCAGCCTCTCAACTCCGGGAAGACGAAAGTTTGTTTTAAACACAGTGGAGCACAGCCGTGGATGCGTGTAAGAAATGGCTTATCACAGACAGTGACAAATATAATATGCACCTTGCCAAGCCTATAGGATATTCCATAGATGGTTTTATCTCAAAGAGCTTATGATAATGCACACGTCATGTTGTATGTAATAAATGGTTGTCTCCCTTCAATTAGTTACATGTAGGTTTATGTTGAGTTAAAAGCATGGCGTGTTAATGGTAATTACAATATAACACAAATCGGGTTACACAGAATGTATATTTACTCACAAACTATTTGAAATTTGTATTCACATAACCATATATCACGTTGGGAATATCTTGTACACACGCAATATATTCGGCTACACGTCGCCAACTAAGGGCCTATCGCAAAACCCATAGCTGAAACTTGATTAATAAAATGAAATGAAATTGGGTTTAACGTCATACTTTTCTGCACCAACCGGGCTAATGAAGAAGGGTATATTTGTGAACATAAAACAGTTGTGTGTACTTCACTATATCTGTGAATATACGACCACGCCCATTATCATTAAATCATTCCCAAGATCCGATGCGCAAATTTCGCTAAAAGCCAATCAAACAATATCGATCAATCTTTACAGGTGTGACTTAAAACGACAAAGAGAACCAGGCAGGTAAAATACTAGCAACCACCGATCTTGTCGACGTGGCGACGTACAAATCGTTGTTTATTCACTGGGTGAAATCATCTATGACTGGTTGTCTATGAATATTCATGATCATCTGTTGCATATTGATGAACTGTTCCACTTGACCTATCATATACTGGTCAAATATGGTGAGAACCGTTTCTCCGCATATTAATTATTATATTATGAGAAACTATGCAAATTGAGAATTAAAATCGGTAGTTTTGATTGGTAACATATACAAGATATCCCTTTATAAACCCCGGACTTCATTTGCCCAGTCGGTGCAGAACAGTGGGACACTAAAACCTATTAATTTCTTTTTTTATAAACCAAGGTTCAAATAATCAAATATTTTGCAATGGGCCCTATAATCTGCGACATGCCTCGCCATTATATTGATACACGTAATAAGTTCGAGTTTATACGTAGTAATGGGCGTCGTGTACGTGGCAGACTTGCTTCACATTTTTCAATAAAATGTGAGACCACTTCTAAACTATTAGTAAGTTGATATAACCCATAATTGCTGATGCACTTTTGAAAATAATAGCTTGTGCCATTCTATTGTTAGATGTTGCTATATTCTCGTAAACTAATCAACAATATGCACTATATTACCTTATCTTCATCAATAACAACTCAATCTGATATTATAACATGCCTAAGTGAGTTATATATTATATAGCAATAAAATCCATCTGTTGTATATCGTTATTGATTTCTAGGCCCAGTTTATTTAATTCTATTCCCACCCTATCACTTTGAGCGAACACTGCTATTATATATTCTAAACTTGAATAGACATTGTGATGCGGTTTATTGTCATACAGAAACTATTCAACAATAGTTGATACAGCGACAAGGGATAATTTCGGGCCAATATTATGAAGACGTTTTAATTTTGATCATCAGTTTGCTTAAGTTAGCGTTCAAATTGCAATTTTCTTTAAGGACTCTTTATTGATATTGGATATTTGGTTTGTATTTTTGAGCTAAGTACATTTCAACAAGAGATTATACGGTGACAAGGGATAATTTCGGCCCAATATTACGAAGACGTTTTAATTTTGATCATCAGTTTGCTTTCAAATTAAGGACTCTTTATTGCTATTGGATATTTCGTTTGTGTCTTTGAGCTTAGTACGTTTCGTTCAATTTCCTGTCCAATTTATTATTAATCCAAATCAATATCCATGACCACAGGGGACGAGTAGTTGGTGTGATCGCAAGAATGAAAATTGGGTTGCCAGCCATTGATTTCGTGATCGATTTCTTGTATTATCGATTAGCCATTGGTCTTTGAAGGCAATGAACAAGCTAAATATTGAAATTCTTCCTTTGTTTATTTGAATCAATGTCGGTTATAACAGTTTTGATTTACTATATGATTACTGTGTTACATGTCAAATGAAACAATAGATAAAAAACATCTAACAACAAAACTAATATTAGTCGGTGTGCCTTTGTTATTAAGTATTCCAAAGAGTGGTAGATCGACAACTATATAGGAGAACATGAGAATCTATGACAAAATCTAACAACCTTATAGGACAACTTTGAGAATCTATGACAAAAACTAACAACCATATAGGACAACTCTGAGAATCTATGACAAAAACTAACAACCATATAGGACAACTCTGAGAATCTATGTCAAAAACTAACAACCATATAGCACAACACTGAGAATCTATGAAAAAAACTGACACTGGGTTGATAATGTTGATTTTTTTATTATTATGAAATCCAAATAAAATACCCCTAAATTGAATCCAACAATATTTTATTGCCAGTTATTATCGAAATGAGAAAGATGGATGTTATTAGCAAATACTGTACGTTGATGGATTGATGAACAAATTGAACACGTTAATATTGGATTAATAAATGTCCGCTTTGCTTAAAATAATTCACATCAAAGCTTCTCGCTCGGGAGCACCGATATATTGAGTTCAGATATAACTTATTTTCAGAGATTTTCAATCACGAATATCTTATAACGTGTACTATTTGTGATTTTGACATATTACTAATGAATTACGACCACACATATGTGCATCAAATGCAATATTGCAACTTTATTTATTAACTATGTGTACTGCCCAAGTAAATGAAATGAAATGAAATAAAATGGGGTTTAACGTCCTACTGTTCTGCTCCGACTGGGATGATTTAGACCGTCTATACAGTGTGCTACGGCCTACTTTCCATCCGAACGACTGAACATATGTCCTTCCGTTCCGCACCACTGACAAGGGGAAACCACGGCGGAAATTCCCGCTGAACTTTCTCGGCCAACAACGAGAGCGAACTCGCGACCCCCGGGCTAGCCAGCCAACTACTCACTTAGCCACCGTGTGCACTGCCCAAGTAAATAAGAAGTAAGTGGTACCAGGTGTTCTAGAAATACTGACAATACCCGCGATTAACTTGGATATTTATTAGCTGTGGCATGATGGAAATTGTGCCCGGATAACAATTGCATTCCAATTTTATGTCAAGGGTTCTTTTATGTGCATGTCAATGAGTACACGTTTGTGTGTACGCAAAAAAACCCACTCGACAATTGAAGTAGCTCTACCTACATGTACTTACAATAAGATTGCTAGGTCGACTAGCTCTCTATATACCTAATATCGATTCTCCCCTATGTATAAGCTGCAGTAAGTAACATAATATGCTATGCTATGGTAAATGTCATATTAAAATGTCATTTTAAAAGTTCATATAGGTTGAATTTATATCATAACTAAATATTATATGGACAGTTATATCATTAGCCCGGACGGAGCGGAACAGTGTAAAGCTATTTCTACACGGTTTTTGAAATTTTAAAAAAAAAAACGAAATGAAAAAAAGGGTTTAACGTCCTACTTTTGTGCACCAACCGGGATTATAAAGAAGAGCATGTTATGGGTGAATTTAGCCTGGACAGCGACGTGTCCGCCTACTTTTCACCGAATTCCAACTGTCACGACAATGTGGACACGGGACCCCGGTTAATCATCCTAGCCGAACGACTAGACATTGGTCTTTGCCAGGCTTCCACACTACACCACTAACAAGGGGAAACCCTTTAGGGGAATCCTGTGGAATATTTCGTACAACACCGGAATCGAATCAAGGACATTTTGGTTGGTGAGCCAACGCCTTATTCCATGATTCACCGTGGCTCCCATAGATAAAAGGCGTTGTCTATTTCAATTATCAATTATGCTGCATATGTCTATATATGTTTTAGCTAACGCGGTAACGGATCAATAAAATGGCACCCGCGGTCGTTAAATCAGAAAAACAAATGTAATGAAATTGTTTTCATCGAACCAGTGCGCGTATTTCTAAAGTGTATATGGTTATTATGGAACTATACGGCATAAGACTGAGGAAATAAGATATTTAATAGAATAAATATAGATCGTCCAGTCTTTTAGTAGAGCATTCTCCAATAGTAATGTTTCTGAAGGTCGATATTCTAGCTTGATAGAAGAGATTCTAACTAGCAAGATTACACAAGGATGAATGGTCATAGTGACCTAGACTATATAATACTATTAATTGAATTGTCCAGACGTTGGTGTTATTGCCAAGGTCTTCAGTGGTTTGGAGGAATAAATTGCTATTGTAAGGAGATTAGATGTTTAATGCTTTTAAAACTGAATATGAACATACTGTATGTACGTTATCAATTAATGGATGTTAGGCAGGATTCATTAAAAACATCGATATAACCATTCTACAAACAGAGAACTATCTATTTTGCCTCGATATATCCAACATTTGGATTCTAAACATCTGAGTTTAAACAATCAATTTGGTAAAATATAACATGGTTGAAACTGACGCGCCATAAAACACAATTTAATAAAACAACCGGCTGTCATCGTAGGTTCGTGGGGCTTAACGTCCCCTTCCTCCTAGGGTGATATCACAGACACAACTGCCATCTTTCATAATCGCTAACTTTAATGGTGCAATATAGCCCGGATGGAGCTGACGCGCCATGAAACTACCATTATTCATAATGGCCAACTGTTATTGCATTGTAAAATGTAATAAGACTCATTCA